ATCTACCAATATGGCACGAACCATTCAGATGCTGACTTTAGATGACCCACTGCCAAAAAAACTCCGAAGAAGACACCTTGTTTTTGGCATCGTGACAGAAAGTGACCAAGCTGCACAGCAGCGTGCCAACCCTCACTTGATTGACCACCTCAAAGCACACTACGTCGTCATGTCAAAGGTATTTAGGCTCAACTCCACTGCATTGTGCCTGAAAAATTCGGTGCTCGTGAAGAACTGCCAATTTCCCCTCAATGAGGACAATCTAGAGCAGCGCTTTTAGGACCAGACGGACGTTACCAGCAACAGATTTTTATTCCTCTTGGAATTTTATATAACTTCAACATCTGTTGCCTACGTAAACAAGTTTTCATACAACGAGCAATGATTTGCATCGGCCATTTGATAGCTTTATTACTACATGATTCCTTCCTGTCCCGTATTGACAAACGTGTTTCCAGCTGGCTCTGTGATGGCTCCGTCATGAAGGTATACCGTTAAGTGGACGATTTTAAATTTTTTGCAAGTTCAGCCATTCAACAACTTAACACAGTTGCAGGCAATATATCTGTCCTCAAAAAGCTGAAGAGCTCAGATACATATCTTACTGCTGCACGAAGGCACATTACAATTTCTGTATGTCGAAGTTTCATTCCCTCTCGAAGAGCACATTTTTTGGCCGTACAAATGCCACAACAAGAAAAGCCTACTATTTTATCAAAGTTCTCATTCAGAATTTATAAAAGAAAGCATTGTAACTGCGTGCCTAAAAGCATGCAGCTCTTCAAAAACTGTGTGTTCATCAAGCCAGAGCCAGTGCGGAAGCTCAACTGGATAAGGAAAGCTGGATGCTTTTCAAATTTGACATCCACTGTTTGTGAGACCGCCTTAAAGCAGATCACACACCCAAAGATGATGCCCAGAGAAAAAAAAAGCAAGAAAAAATGCCAGTGCAAGTGTTCACATAAATTTATGCTGCAGTAAAATCCTGCAATAGCGAGTACTGCTACGGCAAATAATTTTCGATTCCCCATTAGCCACCCATAAAAAAGAATGCAAAAAATGTCTCATCACAATGAATATTTTTCTTGGTATTTCCACTTCAACAAAGTTTCTGCGAGTTCTAGAACAAAAGGGATCTTGGCAAGTGTAGCCGCAAAATTCAGCTAGCAACTCGACAATTTCTCATTGCCAGAGCCATGTGTCCCCATCCAAGACCCGTGTTATTGGAGACATGCTTTTGGCCACCACATGCACATATCAGTAAGTTTTTTGCTATCGAGATGCTCGGCGACAGGTGGTTCATCCACCATGATGCTCCCAGCAGGTCTGATATGCATGCGCACCACGGCAGCATCATTCTTCAAGAGGTACCGCCATTATAGGCATATCTAGTGAAGGTGCTAGCCCCCCCTCCCCCGATCAGAGACTAGTAGAAGCAATAGAGGTGCATTACGCAAGGTAAAGCGGCAACGCCTGCACCAGCGCAGCTTCACAACTTTTAAAATATAGAGAGATCACCTTTTTCAACAGCATGTTGCAGAATTTTTCTGTTAAGAAAAACTTTGATGCACGCGCACATCATCATGTGGTTTGCGTGTGCTATAAAAAGTTATTTCCACTGGGAAATAAAATTATTTGGAAGCCTGTGCCCGTCCTGTTCATTTTTTCTTGTTAAATTTGTGGCAAAAATTTTCTTCATTATGAACCAGTACAAACTAGCTCAAACAAGGACTCTGCTAGGCCAATGTCACTCACCCAGTAAGTTTCATACACTCTAGCCTCGTTGCTAATTTCACACAAACAAAATCATAGTTCTAGTACAATCAACATCTTTAACAAGTCCAGCGAACTCAGAAAAACTAATGTACTTCTGACCTGCTTTGCAAGGTTAAAGAGACACTAAAGTCAAGTAACACTTTTTGTCAGAGTGAAAGCTCCAGGTATGACAACACCTAAAATGACAATATTATCAACAACAGTGCCCTATTTATCGAGAAATGAGGGTAAATCCACAAGAACAGAAGTGCCGCAGTAGGACTTTTTTAAAATGATCCTGATGACATCAGACAGACCACCTACAATTTATCACTAGTAATCACTTGAACAGCACTAAATAAAGAACCTTCCGTACATCAAGAGATGCAATAAAATGCTGCTTACTCCTTTTTGTTTGATTCATGGAAAAAAAAATGCTGGACGTTGGTATGGGGAATGGTGTGAGTGGTTCGAAAATTCAATTTTCGTGTGGTTACATGGGACAGGTGGTGCCATCTAGTGGGGCGCAGTTGAAACAAAAGCATGTGCCATCTCGAAGCAAATGGCGAGTAATTGATCAATGGCCATTGTTGCTGCTGTGGCTGCCACTGCTTTCGGTCTGCTGCTACTAGCGCAGTAATGCCAGGTAACGTTGTGCACGGCAACAGTGACGTGAGTCGGTCCCGTCGGTCCACTTCTTAAGGCGGATAACTTGAACCGCGCTAACCCAATGAGAACCACTAAAACGTGATTTTATTTCAAAATAGGCCTTTTCTTGGCACAAAAGTAACACTACGAGGTTTCTGGATCGCTATTTCAACAATATACATCGACTTAATAAGTAGTTGCCATTAGTGTCCCTTTAAGGTATAATTTCCGGTAACCTTTGGATTATGTTATGACGTTGAACAATGTGTATGACACAGCATTGCCTGTACGCCTTTGGAATTGCATGGTTGCTATAGCTGCGTTGATAGTGCCCATGCCTACCTTTACATGGTGCCTTAAATGTATGTCTCCTCTATCCATGATCACAGTGATTTCAACATCTAGTAGTTTTGCTTTGACCTAGTCGAACACACACTAATTGTCCCAGACATAGCAGAAACTGTTGAGGAAGAAGAAGTACTCACACACGACTTGTGCATTAGTATTAAACCTGCCGGCTATAGCACGATAGATGGAGAATCTATGACCGCCCAGCCAATTAATTGTTCAAGAATAATTGGGTTGAACATGTGCTAGTGAAAAGCATGTTTCAGATGAAGAGGCTGATTCTGTGCCACAGTGGCAATACAAAAGAACTTCGAACCCTTAAGCTAACATCTGGAAACTTGGGATGATCTTGAGCAAGCATGCTTTCTCTATCTGGTTGGCATTCGTAAAAATTTATTAGGAACGGAAATAACTCAGATGCAGCTCACAAGTTACTTTCTTTTTTGTGGCAAAAATTTTGTTCTGGCGACATTCATTGTCACAAATATCAAGTGTCTTCACAGGGAGATTCACCCTAGATATTAGCAGGAAGCACTGCCCCCCCCCCTTTTTTTTCACCAGATGTGAGCAAATCTAATCTATTTTTCTTTTCATTTTTGCACACATGTTCTTTTGCAGGAGGGCGAACAATGCCATACAACAGCTACATTCACGTACAGCATTACAAGCACTGCTGTGGTGCTAAGACCAGATGAGATACCATGCAAACTAGCAGAATGACACATTACACTTTACCGGCACTACCTTTGCTTCTGAAATGGGTTGTGACATGAAAATTTTTCTTGTCTGCTCTTGTCGAATGAAAGGCCAAGCCTCAAGAGTCTAGAAAACGTACTGCTATGTGTGAGTGCACCCAGAAAAAGTAATAAAAGTATAATTTTAAAGTTTCATTTGCTACTGTAGCCCAAGGTCACAAAACTGTATGAGCTTTTCGTAGGGTGCACATGCGAGACATTGTGATGCTTTCGCAACCATTCTGCATTGTGCTTCGTGTGTGATGCGTACGCGACAATTTTGATTGTTTGGGTGACACAAAACGGCCATTTTGGAAGTTTTGGTACCTGACATCACAACTAGCTAGGCTACTGCATGAATTCCCCAGAATCAGTACAGTACCCTGATGTTAAACTAGTGCCGATGACAGTAGGTACATAATAGAAACATCAACTTTAACATGAAAATGAAATATATTATCAGCATTAGCTGAGTTTCCCACTTGTTCAGTCTTTGTATATTTTTATGGTAGAGCAAACTCACCTTCTTAAAATGGTGTCAGCACCCCTTTATGCACCTGTGTAAATAGGTGCTTCTGCTGTACGCATGCAGCGTCTCTTGGAAATTGGCTGCACACTCTTAAAATTTCTTCCCCAACGTGTAGGCGAAGATGATAGAGATGTCCAGAAAGGTACCTTTCTACTTTTCCAGACGTCTCTGCCATCTTTCCTTTTTTTTCTTTTTATATGTGCCGCGCTAACACAAGCTAAGTTCATGGATAACCAACTCGCCCGAGCTACAACACTATTGAACCTAATTCCTGTATAGATGATCTTACACGTGCACTCAGGCACCCTCTAGTGCACATGGAATTAGTTGAAGAAGCCAAATCCATTGTTCAGCAGACTGGAATAAACTGCATTTCAATTTCTATGACACTATCTAACAAAAGTTGTCATAAAAAATTGAACCATCTCTCCTAAGAGAACCCTTATGGGACGGGAAGCAGCATTAAGCGCTGAACCATTCGTTTGAAGAGATGGCTGGTGTAGGTCTTGTAGGTGACATGTTTCAACGCATACGTTAGGCGTGCGTCAGGTTTATTACTCGTGAACCGACGAGTCTGCGGTGTAGCGAGCCGTGGCCGCAGCAGGTGTTGCGGGGGAACGGACGAGGCAGCAGCTGCAGGCGCCACGGCCAGTGGCGCCTGCAGGCGGCAAGTGAGAGGGAGAGAGTGACGTGAGCGCACACTGCGAGGGCAGCGTGACGTCAATGCACAGCAGCAGCGTGACTTCCTTGGCACCGTGCCAAAACCTACGACACCCGGTGCATTTGTACAGAGGGACAGTGTTACATAGGCTTGTCAATGAGCTGCTTCCCATATAAAAGAAATGCAGCAGTTTGTGATGTTACAAGGTATTGTTGCCCTATCTACCTTATTATTCTTACTAATCTTTTGATGAAACTCCCACACATTCATTGCAATTGAAGCATGTCATCTTATTAGTGAGTGCATATTTGAGCCCCTCTCGTACCTGATTTCGCAAGAGCACTGGTCCAAAACTTTTCTGCCTTTTGGCTCTCCCCTCGAAACTGTTCCTGCAAAAAATCCACAGGTCGCTTCTTTATAAATCTGCTCAACTTGTCACAGCTGTACAGTTTATCATAACTAAGCAGAGGCACAACAGCTTACCAGGTGTGGGTCAGTGGGAACCCAATTGGTACAATGCCCTCGTGTTTGGCTAGATGGTTCCTTTGCATGTAACTAACAGACATGTTCAAATTAATGTTATGCTTGAAAAAAAAAAAGGACCTGAAAATTCCTCTTTCGGTCTAGTACATCAAAATATTTTAACATTCTGATCTCTCGAAAAATGTTTTTCATCCAGCACGTCCTTAACCATAAGTAATTAAGTTGTGAAGTTGCAAAAAAGCCATCCTATTATGGTCATGGCTGACCCAAAGTGTTTTGGCTGTGTACTTCAAAAAACTGAGTGTGCTTGCTGTACTGAATACACTCTTAAGCTCTTTATTGAATTTTTATTCATGTCTTGTGATATGATACATTTTTTGCATAGTGGTTGAATAACTGGACGTCGCCAATCATAGGCGGAGAGTGCAGGAATGCTGGGGGGCTTGGGCGACCTCTGGGCTGCTTCATGGGGGGCAGTGCCCCAGTGTCGCGGGGGACATTTTTTTAAGGGCTTGGCTTTGGCTCTCATCTATTACCAATGAACTGTTCACCATCCTGTCTTGCAGCTATTTGAAACTAGTAAGCCACAGGATGATAAACATTGCAGCGTTTGGACGACTCTTGTGCAAAATAGGTATTACGAAAATGAGTTTTGTTTTATGCCCCCCCCCTCCCTCTCTCTCTCTCTCTCTCTCTCTCTCTCTCTCTCTCTCTCTCTCTCTATATATATATATATATATATATATATATTATATATATATATATATATATATAATATATATATATATATATATATATATATATATGGGATATGGCACAACGGGAGCGTTGTCAACAAGGATAGATATATTTATTTCCCAACAGTTTCGGGAGGGTCCTCCCTTCATCAGGGGATGAGTTATACTGACATGAACTTCCAGTATAACTCATCCCCTGATGAAGGGAGGACCCCTCCCGAAACTGTTGGGAAATAAATATATTTATCCTTGTTGACAACGCTCCCGTTGTGCCATATCACATACCTTCACGAAGACTAACACTAACTGGCCCATTGAATTATTACTTCCACTATATATATATATATATACAGAGAATAGAGAGAGAGAGTGAGAATGTAGAAGAGCAAGTCGGGTGTCCTGCTCTCTCCAAGAATATTAAAACTCTCCCCCTATGTCAAAATGTTAGCATTGTCTGCGGGGACCTTCTAACAAAAAGTAAACAGTAGATTAATTAGTTATTGGTCAGCAAACAGTGATAAACAACATAATATTGCATAAAAAATGTGCATAAAATATATGGCAATTGACATGAGTAAAGAGGTATGAAGCACATGCTGAAGATATGCAAGTGGTGAAGGTGTGCGGAGCTACGGAAAAAAACCTGACGGTGTGCAGCACTGCCAAGTCAATGCATGCGATTGGTCACAGAATAGCTCATAGCATACAACCATGGCCCTGGAGTGGAGGAGAAGCAGGCATTGCCCTGAAAAGCACCGAACAACAAAGGTCGAAATGATCATCGCTCTCGCGGCGACAGCAGGAGTCACCCAGGTCCAGAGGTAGCGGCATGGGTCGTGATGGTGCTAGGAAGCAGCTGTTGACTTTAGTAGACACTGAGAGATGCTCCTCAGACCTGCGGCACTTCCTCATAGCGGTTCCAGGTGCACCTGCCCCTCTTCTCATTTTTAACAGGACGGCTGCGACCTGCAGTCCCCGAAGCACCATGTCATCGTTTTGGCTGGATAGCACTTAGGAGACACCAGCTAGGACTACCTTGTAAAATACCAGACGACTGGATTACGAGGAACTGAACCAAGCAGCTCACTCAACGGAGGCTGATCAGGGGTGACCATGTGACCGCTGCAAGACTTTAACTGTGGGATGTTGCAGTCCCAGGGTGGCATCATGAACAGTAAGACAATGTTTGCTGTATGTGTGTAGCCACAGAAAAGCCATAGTAGCTATGTGTCTGGTACAACTTACGAAGTCAGGAGAGGCCCCACCCAGACAATAGAGGCACAACAGCTGATCACCTTCACGAGTAAAGAAACAGTCCCACACCATGCACTCGGCAATGTTCACTAAAGGCGAGTTCACTGGCCATTCAGCTCATGACATTAGTCTAGAGTGTGTGCCTATTGCATCCGCTTTGCAAAGGCTGACTTCTAAAGCTGTATCCGAATATTGATGGCTGCCCGTCATTGAAGGATGATTCGACAAATAATTGTCAGATAGGTGGTCACACTTTTTAGAATAAAGTTTCTGTTGCCATTCTGTACACCAGCAAGAGGTCTCATTGATTATATACATTGGTGAGACACCGATAAAATGAGCTTGTAGAGGGGTCCCTCAAAAACCTAAAGGAACGTTGAAATGTAGTTGCAATGAGGAAGTTGTGCACGAGTCTACAACCAACACATATGTAGCCATGAGAATTTCTCGAAATGGTGCCATAATAGCCAAGTTAGACATGTTTGATCGTGAATATGCAGCAATCGCTTCTTTCGCTCTTTCCTAGGTTCTTGCTCCACTAATGGTAGCATGACTTGCACTCCGCATTACAGATTCAACTTCGTAACATCCCACGTCATTACAGAGGCCAAAAGAGTTTGGAGTGGAAAAGAAATAGTTTCTTGGAATTTGTGGGGCGTCCACAACTTGTGGCGCTGCCACGTCAGGCATCGTTGGTCGTGACGGCACACATGATGCGAGTGTTTGCTTGAAATGTTTCAAAAAATATCAGAGGTGGTGTAGGAGCCCTTTAAGTTGCCTTGTTTGTTTGATATCACAGTTACTGACCTCACATTCACGTTCAGGAAGACACATACACTACATTATGCAACTTATAATTACCCGACAAAACATGCCCCTGGGTAAGTAATACGGTAACACATTATCCCATCTGAATGCAATGTAAGCGAAGAGCAGAATGGTGGGATACTCAATATCTGATAAAACGAAAGTACACTCAATGATAGTCATTGCGAGCCATTGATATTGAATATGGCTGCAATATCCCTGTAAAGCTTGCCAGAACATGACTCTGTGGTAGTCACGCTTAAAAGGGTCGTGAAATGTGTTCTGAAAAATTTCAACTACACGTGTATTCAGAATCCTGGCAGACTTCCATTCAATACTTTACCTTGACTAGTTTTATCTTCTAGGTTCCCTTATGAGCTATAAAAGCACAATTTTGATTCCCCACTCACGTTCCCCTCAACCGTACACCTGATGTCACTTTGAGTGAGCCAATAAAAAGCCTCTGTCATTAACAAAACATGGAGATTCAGAGATGTATGCTGAGCCACAGTTGATTAAGGTTCGTAGCATCACATCGTTTCAATTGCGGTGCCGTAAAGTAATGACGAATGCTGTTTATATTTTGATAAGTTGTGTGGCACTGTCTGAGGACGCCCACAGTAGGAATAGGAACTAAGCCACCCAAAACACACCGTAAAGCACAACTTAACACAACCAGTAAGAACAATGGGACGCTGATCCCATCGAGGCAACACGTGACGGAGCCCGGATGTACTTGAAAGCAGAACTACACAGATCACTTGCTGTAATTTCACAGTATGAATCGCTCAAAGTGCAAAAATAGCTGTTTTTTTTTTCTAGGTTCCTATAAATATATCACTTCAGAGCAAGAGAAACTAAAGCTATGTTTATAACTTCTGTTACCATGATGTTTCCTTTACGTCACACATTAATGTTGCATGGTCGTTTATGAGCCCAAGAAAACTACGATTTTAAATGGACATCATTAATTGGAGCCTGGATATTGGGCCAAAATATTCTGAAATTGGCATGTCTAATCTTAACTGAAGCAAGAGAAATTACAAGTGGGCAGCTTAATTTTCCTTTCACAAACTGTTTAATGTTTTGGCTGCAAATAAAAGCAGAGTTGTACCTAAGACATTATAAGTAATCAGTTAGTTGTAATCACTGCATTTACTAGTAATTTTGTGATATAATTGATCACTTTTTGTAACTGTAACATACTGAGTAATTCAATTACATTTTTTTTGCAGCTTGTTACTCATAATCAAGTTTTTTTTTTTCACAATTCAGTTGCAACCAGTCTTCTACGGCAGCTCTTGTTCCATAAAATATGTGATCACTGTGCAGGGACCCCTTGTTCTATCAGACAGGAAGTCTCTTAAGAGCATATTTTTTCTCCTTTTCATTAGCCTTACCAGCAATGCCTTACCAGTGTACCAGCATGCCAGCAACAGTGAAGCGTACCGGGCACGGACATTAGAGTAGAAGTTCTTTTAAACTAAAAACTGAGGCACTAGGTATTTCTTAGTTACCATACTGCTTTCCCCTCCACCGCATACGTCGACAGAGTGTTCAGTGTAGTAACTGAACTTTTAACAAGGACACGAGAGGAATCAGTGACTACAACTATGAAAAAGATCCACTGTAGGTTAACGTATAAACACAAGCCACAGTAAGCCTCCCGCCTTCTTTCTATCATGCAGGCCACAGTGGTTGGTTGTACCGTAGAAACCGGGCTATAGGACGAGTGGGAATATAGGTCGACACCCCAAGTTCAGGTTACTGAAAAAAAAAAAAGGAAACAACTCAGAATTGCCGAATGACATTTATTAGCGAATTTGGCACACCGCACCCCGATCGTCGGAGCCCCCCTCAACCACCATCGCAACTGTTCCTATTCGTCACACGAAGCACCACTGTTTGTCACTGGCGGCCTCCCACAGTGCGTTGTCTTCCGTGCCATACATCGAGTTGCTGAAGGAACATTTCTTAAAGGTATTTTCCACCATGGAAACTGGCAAGGAACGCCAGGCGGAAAGCACCCAGCCACAAACAGTCGCAAGCGGAGGCCTCTGTAGGCGACCCATCGGCGTCTTTGGGCTGTCGCCAGACATCCACTTTTGGTACTCCAGCCACACTCAACCCTTGAACGGCTTGTTTAGTATAACGTCGATTGGTTGGAAGGTGGACGTCATACCATCTGGTGTCACGGCGAGGTCCGTTTTTTCATCGCCCAGTGCGCGCTTCACAGCATCAGTTAAGTGACCACAAAACGCATCTAACACCAGCATGCTGCAAAGCCGCAGCAGTGCACCTGGCTGACGGTTCTAGACTACTCGAATCCGTTCGAGCATCATGGCCTCGTCCATGTATCCCTCTTTGTTGACGCGAATGACAACACAGTGCGGGGACACTTCCTTCGGCGTTGTCTTACGTTTGAAAATGATGAAGGGTGGAAGCTTTCTACCATCTGCCATGCATGCCAGCATGACGGTGAAACGCGGGTGGTCATTGCCAGTGAACAACAGCTTCATATCCTTGGCACCACACTGCATGATCATTTTCGATGAAGGCACGTCAAACCACACGGGGATCTCATCATCCTTGTCAATCTGCCCCATCATGTAGTTCTTCTGCTCCCGAAGCCGGTTCATGAAGCCCTGAAAGTTTATAAGCTTGTCCTCGAACTCATCTGGAAACTTCTGACAGATGGATGTGCGCCACTGGAAAGAAAATCCTTTGCCTCTCATGAATCGATGCACCCAAGAGTTTGGTGCACGAAACTTTTCTCTCGCGAGCCCAGCTTCTCGAGCGAGTTTCACAGCTTTGTTGTGAATGGTATCCACGGTCACTGGCAGCAAACACGCATAAACTTCCCACACAAAGTTTCCTAGCCTATTCTCTAGCTGCGGATGAACCGCACTTCGTCCACAAAAGGACATTTTCCGAGGATTGCACATCTGTAGCTTCCCTTTCTGCACCCTACAATTGCGCACGCTTTTTTCTGATACACCAAAGCAGCGCTGAGCAGCCATATTCCCATTCGCTTCTGTGAACTCAACAACCTGTAGTTTAAACGCAGCTGAGTACTGCCCTCTCTTAGCGCTACTCATATTCAGTGAAATAAAAAAAGACCACTAAAAATGAAACACAATGTCAAGCGGAGCGAGAACTTACAACAGATCGGAGGCCAATCACGGACACAAAAAAATATACAAGAAAAAAAAAAAAAACCTGCTATTGGATCTGAATGCAAATATGGCCGTGTCCAGCTTCTCATGCACGTGCAAGCCACATGTTGCCAGACAGCTGTGCACTGTCAGCTAGACACCGCTATATAAACGAGGGCGGCTTTAGCTCGTTGTTTTATTGAATATATCTCGACTTATATTCCGGTTTATATGGTATTTTGAACAAGGTTGTGTTACAGCAAAAAAATACTGAAGGAAAGTGATTGAAAAGTAGCCGATTACATTTCTGTAATTCTTTGGTTACTTTTCTGGGCCAGCAACTGACCACTGTAATCAACTAAATTGAGAGGAGGTCATTGTTATTACATTCTGTAACATGTTTAAGTGGAAATCAGAGGAATTTCTACGGTTCAGGTGGAGCTGTAGTAACCCCCTCCCCGCTAGTTTCTATTAAGGTTGTTAAAGACCACAAAATTTCGCAGTTCGTATAAACTCCTCAACAACCAATTTTCCCTTCATCTCTATGTCCATCACAAGTTTTATTTTTCTTTTTTCTGCATTCCCAATCATGCTGCAACACCAAGAGCCCTAGGCATTCACAGTAGCCACGCCAGTTAGTGTAAGTTGTCGACCGAAAGGTTAGCCGAAAATACCTGTGAGCATCATCTCTTTGCTGCAAAGTGAACACAAGAGGTCTACCGATTTTGGAACGTTGGATCGACAAAAAAGAAAGCTTGCTTTGAAACTAAGTCGACCCTCTTTCGCAAACAATGGCACTGGCTGCTCACCATTTCAATCAAGCCACTGCTCACCATTTCAATCAAGCCAATGTTTTTCTTTCCTTCCTGTAGCTCTCTGTGCACTAATAGGACCTCCACGATGCCCTCTTGTTTCATGTCCAGGGCAATGCCTAAGGCGTCCATGCCATCACTGTTGACAGCAGCCACTTGGATCGAATCCTGAAAGAGCGGCAAATTGGGAGGAACACTGCTTAATGCAAATGCCTTCATAAGCGGGCTTCTTTAGGAACAGGGAGACCTGTCGAGCATACTAGCATCTTCTACAAATTTTACTGGTGTGCACTGGTGCAAAGCGCCAAGTACTTACCATCACAGCGTTCACTATGTGGGCACTGCCCAAACGGTTCTTGGTGTCTATCTTTTTTTCCCATAAAAACAGCACACATCGTCTGGCAGCAATCATCATGTTCATTTGTTGTGCCCGTTGTGATTAGCTCCGACAGATACTTGTTTGTAAACAACACTTACTTCATGGCCATTGAATAAAAACAAATGGTTGAATTGGCACCTGCATGCTGCTTAGTAGAAAGGATCTGTCAAAGGTCCACTTCATAGTTTACAACACGTAAAAAAAAGTTAAAAAATCAGTGCATAGCAGAAGCCTATATGACCTCTCTTGTGAGGGTAACAAGCAGTAGGTAAAAGGCACCACCTAGCCTAACACAACCTACTGGGTTGCCATCCCCATTCACATCATGTGAAGAAGGCAGGAACATTTTGTTAGGATCATATTCAAGCCACAGAATAATTGTTTTACTTCATGACAAAAGTAAAAGTAATTGCCACAGCTATAAGCAGCAATATCACTTCCAATAATGCTGCATCTTGGTATAGAAATCTTCTTTCATATGATTAAAATATTGAACATTCATACAACCTAAGTCTTAACAAGCTCAGTCAAAACGCTGGACAAAAACTACATGCCTTCAATGAGTGCAGTGCATATTCCTGAACAAGGCTGAGTTAATTCAGCTAGGCCTTGAGGAACAAGTTAACATATTTAGCAAAATTTAAGATTTTTTAATGATTATCCATTGAAAGGCATCTGGAAATGTGTTACAAATAGTATGAGCAGAAAGTGAAAGGTGGTAGAGGTCATCATGTGGGCATGACACGGTCTGCCAGATTTGGTGTATGCATAGAACATGGCAAGGAGGGCATCTGTGTCATCAGAAGTGAAGTTCTCCTCCTAGATACATTCCAATTTCTTGTAACTCGTCCAATATTTAGCCAACTAGAAAAATTCTTTCTTTTGGTAAAACACCCCATAGGACGTGCCTTACATATTCCCCTGTTTAACCAAAACGTGAAAAGTTACTTAATGAAGGGGCCTTTTAAACAGCATGTAAGCAATCATATTGACATGCTGTAATTTAGGTAAAAATATGGTTAAGCAAACTCTCAGGTCAAATTCCAAGAAAGTAATGACGACAGAGTCACCAGGCAATTGAAGAACTATTAAAAACCCAGATTGCTACTTTTAAAGTGCGCCATGTGTCTAAGCTAATACAAAATTACCCCATCATGTGTCAGATACCACATAGGCAAGATGACTGTCATACTAGAGGCATGAAAAAACAAATAAGTGGTCACCATTGGGGGGCCATAAAGAGGAAACCAAAGTGTGTGCGCAAGTGACGCATGCTATGGTGCGCATGCTGGTGGTCGAGACAGCGCAGTGGTCAACGATCGACGGTTCTCGGCTGGACATCTGGTCCGAGGAGCTAAGGAACGTCCTCCAGGCACTACCGTTTCTGTACTCCGGCTGGAGACTAGCCCAGGGAACAGGCGAGGCGCAGGGGTCCAGCTGGCATTTCTGACTGCTGCAGGGCAACCGCGATGAATGAAGCCTGCCTTCCGGCTAGGCAGCTGGCTCAGGGATTTGGCGAGGTGCCCTCGTCTTCACTGTTGTTTACAGGAATCGAACATGTTTCGTGGGAGGTGGACCACTGCTGCTGAGGTCGTTCAGAGTCCCTGAGATGACCTGGGTGTGAACGAGACGAACGTGCAGGCTGAGCTACCAAGCTGCTGCACCAGAGATCTGTGCCATGGCGAGGACTGGCATGCGTTGGCGACGTCGACCAGCCAGATGGGAGATCGTCTTTGAGCGACGAGCATCAACATCCTTCAACGGCTTCAAACACAGCGAGACCTTTCTGATTTAAACATAATTAGTCAAGTTAGGACTACAGATCATCTTTCTCTGTAAATATATGTTTGTGTGCGTACACTCGTGGCTCGATTCAGTTCCTCGGCGAGTGGCCCTGGGCCCAAAATTTGTTGCAAAAGTTGGTGTAAAGATCACAAAAAACATGCAATGAAAACTAATAAATTCAGTTCTCACAGGAAAATCTAATGTTTCAAACTAATTTTCTGGTCTTCGAAAGCATTGGCATTATTCAATAACCTGATTCAAAAAGTAAGGGCCATTTTATTTATATATTTGCATGTCACAATAAAGATGTATTTGTGGAGGGCCATCTGTAAATTCTTCGGCAAGGTGCTAAAGTTATTGTTCTGGCTCAGCGGTCCTCTGCTTGATGGACAATGGAGATGAAACTGTGTGCAACAATAGTTGGTTCTACAAATTGCCAAGTGCGAGGAGTAATCCGATTTTCGCAGGTAGAACGGTCATCAGCTTCCCAAACTCAGGAGGAGTTGTGCCTAGTTTATGGACCTACAAATATGAGTTATGAAAAAGTAAAAAAAAAAAAGATGCCAACACTTCAAAAATGGCCACACAATTTGAACAACGAAGAGCAAACTGCCAGGCTCACCATCAAGACTAATGAAAGTGTTCCACAAATGAGCTGAGCACTGTGATTAGGCTGACAACTGACAGTCTATATAATCTGTTGAATAGATTTTCTTAAACTGACTGCTCTACAGTTTACATGAGTGTAATGGAAAAGCTTGGAATTCATGAAGTGTTAAGGCCTTTAACTGGGCTAGTAAGTGTTGACTGAATGCTTCCATATTTCACACACAAGGACACCTGCAGAGAAAGAGACAGGAGAACTGCTAGACTTCAACTGATTTTCAAATGACAAGGCAAGACAGACAGTTTTGCACCTGATGAGAAACAGCGGTGTATCTCTTAGGGGTTGGAGTGCATAATCAGTAAGGGCTGCGCAAAGATACTTTGAAATTGTATCATGATAAGATAGAAGATACTTGGGCAAAAAGTATTGTAGATAAACATACAAGACACTTCCGTATTGATTGTATCCAGTGCGATACTTCCCAGCTGTATCCTGAGATACTTGCATTAATTTGGAAATTCGCTGCTATAGATCTCATAATGACACAGCAAAGGCCTATGCGCAGAATTTGTTCACTTAAAAATGTCTTAAAACTATGACCAACATTGTTTATTTTAGTGAAATACTGTATTTACTCGTGTAATGAATGCACATTTTTTTCTAAAATATCGGAGCAAAGTTGGGGGTGCGTTTATTATGCAGGGGGAATTTTGTGAAAACTTTTTTGGGATGAGCAAAAAATGCAGTAATGCAAAAAAAAGTGAGGTCTCTTAGCCTTTTGCAATTGGCATATGTGTACACTGTTTGGAAACAGCCTTTTTGTTGCACTTCACCCGTCTTCAGTGGTTGCTGGCACTATTTTCTGCAAGCTGTCTCCACACCACCCGCGCATGCCATAAGAGTGTTTCGCAGCTACCTCTTCTCGCAATCATTTAACCACAACAGTGGTATCTGCTGTGATTTAGAGGAGGGCCCAGAAGCGTGCATTATGATGAACATTGCCAACTTTGCGGCAACCTCGCACGACGACCGTGCCGCCGTCATGAACGTTGTAGCAAGTAACCAACATTGTAGCGAGCTACCCCCGAAGCATCAAAACAAACCATCGATAACAAGATTATTAACAAAATACGGTCGCTGCCTCGCTTCTACATGAGACGTTCCTGAACATGCGGAAAACAAAAGTGAAGCGAGAATTGAGGGTGCTACAGTGTCAACCACTTATAACGTAACCACTTATAGTGCAGAACCGCTTGCAATGCGGTCTTTTTCTACTCCCGTTTACCCTCCCATAGAACCTCATGCATACGCATACTGCTTATTGTCCAATCCCCCAGGATGAAGGACCGGTTATAATGCAATTGCCGGAAATTGTTTCTGACAATCGCGGTAGCGAGCAGCGCTGGGTGCGCTGCTGGGGAGCGGACGAGGTTGTTACGGAGGAGGAGAGGACACAGAGTGAACCAATGAAGGGTAGAGGGAAGGAAAAAATGAAAAAAAAAAAAAAAAGACCCCGGGCACTGCACGGGCTCGCCAAGTGATAAGCCTTTGCACAGGCGCTGACGCGGCTACAGCCCACTACGTCACTAGCGCAGCTTCGGCCGCTCAACGTGGCACGTGGGATCCCGTCCTTATCAACTACATGTGCTTAACAGTTGTCTGTCTTTGAAGACACCATCATCATTGCGCTTGCAACAAATATCGCGCTTGCTTCCTTGTCCGTGTATTGAAAACCTTTTACGGTTTTATGACCCGAGATTTCACTTTTGCTGCCAGTGTGCTGTCATACGTAAGTGTGGCGAGTTGTCGACCGTCGTTGCTGATCTCCCATTTGGGAACTTGAACTTCGTATCATGCACGCGGTTCTTGGTTCACTGCTAGTGCAATCCTTTTGACGCCAAATCCTCATGTTTTTGACAAGCTTTCCATGACAACATACCAAACAGCAAGCTAGGCTTCAATCGGTAGCTGTCACGTGAATCTAAGTTGCTGTTTGGTACTGAATCAACGAAACTCTTTGGGGTGGCCGCACTTGACGGGAAGGGATACATATCGTTAAATGAAAACGAGGGCAGCACGTGTAGTGCTCAAATAGTGGTTCGCAATTCCATTGCCATGTCTTAAATAGAATGTGCTCCCGTGAAATCTAATGGTTGGTGTCTTTTAACGCATCAAATTCTGGATTTGATTCAACTTTCATTTGTTACACATCCCCGCCCCTCCTTTCACGTTTATTTCATTGGCAACACGTGTCTTTGGACGTTATATTCTTTTAACAATCAGCAATTTAAATGTTAGCAAGCACGCATTGCATGTTTCGACTCTCGGACACGCAAAGCTGCATGCTCAACACGTTTTGCACAAATGCGGCCCTTGAAAAAGGTTGTTTTGGTTATA